CTAGCGGGTGACGTCTGGAGATGAATTTAACCTGGATCGGCAGAGCGGCGATTCATTCCGCCGTTCTAAAGTTGATACACGCCAGGCCACAGACAACCCGAGAACCTAAGAAACATGGAAACACTGAAACTACTCTGGGGTTGGTCATTAACAAGCCTTTGTCGACCAGCATTCATCTATTGCACAATGTCTGGCACATGCAACAAGTCTTCCTCGAGTCACCCGCCCACAAGATTGCTTGGGAGGGGTACGGACCACCCGAGTTGCAATTTGCAGTTTGAAGTATATGTGCTCACCATCACACCCTCGTCATGGCTATTCAACTTGCTTGTGCATCAATCTACGGCCTGGCAGGTCCTATATCCCATTTGAGGCTTCGCACTCCCGGAAGACGTTTTCTAGGAGAGTCCGGTCGTACACCACGAAGTACAGAGAACTCGACTGCGTGATATTCCATTCCATTAAGATGGACTGACTCATTTCAACCCCTGTGGGGTGACTGGCTGACGGGTCGGGCAGTCTTTTGGGCAGAAATTAAATGCCTGCCCAACGTCTCTTCTGGGGCCTACTCTGTGCTTGCGCACAAGCAAAATGAGGTCAAGATTGCTCCTTGTACTATACTTGAGTTCTCCGTTGACGTTTAGTACTTGCAGGCCCAGAGGCTGGCGTCGCCTTTGCACAACAATCGTACCACCTGTAGGTAAGTAGGTACATATTTACCTACTTAAGTACCTAGGGCATGTCTAAGTAAAGTACCTATAGAGCGGCCCGGTTTCTTTCAAGGACCAAGGTTTCGAGTGGATTGTAGGCAAGTATTAGATACATACGTACGTAAGGTAATACTAAGTCGAGTTCAAGGTGACATGGCCGCATCAGTCTGGCCACTGCATCAGCCTCCAGCTGCCACGACCGGAGCTACTTGGCTTCCACGTTTTCGAGACCTGCATGTATGACTCTTACAATCTCCATGCAAGTGACTTTATCAGCTGCCGAATAAAGAATTTCGATTGTGGCTAATTGGAGTACGGAGTAAGGAAGGGCCATAAGGAAGGCCCGCGGGTGGTACCGACGATGGCTCGGTTTTCCGGCGATACCAATGACACTCACAAAACTAGAAAAGTTGCACGGAGCCACTACCATCACCATTTCAATCTGCACATGTGTGTCTGTTGTCCAAACGTGTCCGGCATAGAGCTTCAGAGGCCCGTTGCTCGAACTGCTTTCTTAACTTTCTTAATCTTGCTCTTTGGTCATATAAAAAATTATTTGTCTTGTTATCATCGTCGCCTTTTTTCTTTCTTTTCCCCTTTCCTTTCTTATTCTCAAGGAAGAGAACGAGGCGAGGTTTATTGCACCGTGTCTTGCCTAACGCCTGGCGCAGGGCAAACAAAGCACAACGCCGTCGGCCCCTCCCTTTCCGTGTTAACTGGTCCCTCCCCCTCTCCCCCCTCCCTTCCACCGTCGTCGTCGGGCGACACACAAAAAAATTTCCATCCTCCTGTAACATTGATCTGTCTTCTTCTCTCCACATCTCCTCCTGCCGCGACGCTGAACGCCAGCACACACTTTATCTTCTAACCAACCATCAGCGACACAGCTATCTATCACTTTGGTAGCGCCATCCCGAGCCGTCGTGACGCAGACACACCTTCAAACCCTTATACTGAACCTTGACATCATGCCTGCGAAGAAACAGTGGGGTAAGGAATTCACCACACCCTTCAACGACTTTCTACTTCCTCGCGCACATCCCGTGTATCTACGTGATAGATCCAGATCTACAGATACAGCCCCCGTTGTTTATGATGCGGCTCTGTGGAGACTGCATCCGATCCTAGAAAGCATCTCTGCGCCTGTTCCTGTGCCTGGGCTGCATCTAACTGACCGCTCTTTACCCCAGACGAGGAGGAAAGCGACTCCAGCACTCCCCCTTCTTCTCCTCCTGTTACGGCTGCTCGCCGACGCCAGTTTGAGGATGAGGAAGACGATAGTGATGTGAGTGAACCACTTGCTTCATTCCAAAGCCTGTGGCCCTGCCAACACGTTGCTCGAACGAAGCTGATATCATGTTTGTTCAGGTCCTCGAATCTTGGGATGCCGCTGAGGATTCCGAGGTAGAGCGTGAGAAAGAGCGTAAGGCTGCCGAGGCCAAGGCAAAAGCTGTCGCTGAAGCTGCCGCCAACAAAAAGTCCAAGGCCGAGCGAATCGCCGAACATCAGGCCAACCGCGCTCGTCAACGTGCGGAAGAGGAAGAGGAAAGCGAGGACGATGAGACAGAAGCACAGCGCCGCGAAAGACTACGTCGTACTGAGCAGGAGGCCGATCTGCGTCATGCTGAGGATCTTTTTGGCAGCGTTGGCATCAGTAGCGGCCGCAAGGCTCCGACTATCGGTGCTGCCATTGTTGTCGACGAAAAGGACCCGACCAACACTGTGAATCTTGCTTCTTTACCGCTTTTAAATCCGCAGACGAAGAAGCAGTTTGAACTTGTGCGCACCACGCTTGCGCCTATTATCAATGGGAATAGCAAGAAGGCCCACTATGGTCTCTTCCTTGAAGAATTCGTCAAGGACCTAGCCAAGGATCTATCAAGTGACCAGGTCAAGAAAGTTGCCAGTGCACTGACTCGCCTCAGCAACGAAAAGATGAAGGACGAGAAAGCTTCTGATAAAGGAGGCAAGAAAACGAAGGCTGCCAAAACTAAGACCTCACTTGTTACTACCCGTGCCAATACCACGGATGTGTCAACATATGATGACGATGCGTTCGGAGAGTATGTGCAAACTAGAATTACCATTTCGTATAACTTGCTGACATGTCAACAGCGACGATTTCATGTGAAGAGATCTTTCAAGAATATAACAAAGCAGCTGCTTCAGCCCCCAACCCTTGGCACTACTATGGAGGTCCCATCAACCTGTACAGCAAGAGCATTTACAATCCGCTCATAGCAAACCCTTGCGCCGAGCCTGCGCGGAGACAGATTCTATCCGCTTCTAAAGTGTTCGATTCTGTCGAATTCACTTGATGCTCGCATACCCGCCGTTGAAAAACATCATCCAGAAGACACTTTCTCGGCATGCTTTGTGATTCATGGGGCGAATGAGGATGGATTCGGCTTGGGGGAGAAGCAGAGCGGAAACTAGGATTTGATTATCAGGGGGGGCATTAGACGGGGTCATTCGCATTTTGTGGACAAATTAATGCGTTCTTTGTTCCTATTCGATACCTACATTACGGCTCTCTACTTGTTGATAGCTCCGTCAATGGAGATAGCTTCATCTTGTGGAATATTGTTGGACCGGATACAGTTGAAGGAGGCGTAGTAATTACCTAGACTGAAACAATAGGCTTCAGAAGTCAAAACTCAGTTAAGCCACGCAATATTTGTTGACCTGTGCCTTAAAGGCCAGCGTGAATGTATTGCAGATAACATTCATTATATGTCTAAAGGGGTCCCAAGTTTAGCGTCCCTGATTCCTCTGCCCGATCCGCATGCAAGAGCTTTATTCTCCTGAGAACGCCGTCGTGAATAAGAAAAAAGATTAAAATAAAATAACCCTGGGACCTAGTTTCAACGCCGTACCCCAATTTCGCTGCACTGTCCAAGTTCTGTGCTGTCGCTGTAGTACAATATTCCCTCCATCAATAGCCCATTCGTGTTTCGCTAAGCTACTGAGAAGGTTGCAAGAGCGAAAAGAAAAGAAATACAAACTCAGAGAGGTATTACAATAGAGTAGAGATGTCGTCAAGGGGTATTACATCAAACCACATTTCCCGCCATTCCCATAAATAGAGCGTGGACTGCAAGAGACAGTGTCCAGAATCCAACCTTCTTGAATCGACGGACACGGCTCTGTTGATTTTCCACGTCTTTGGCAAAGGCATCATACGTTTCAACTGATGCGTCATTCATTAGCCCGCAGTCGAACACGGTCCAACTTCCATCAAAATCGCTGAGACGTTTGACTATGCGGCAAGATATTGGAATGTAAGTCTTCTTGGCGTTGATGTAGGCCACAATTGGTCGTACAAGTGCCTGGTTGACGTAGGATATATCCCTTGTGAAGAGAGGTACTGCGGCCTTCACATCATTCATATGAATACGCATGTCCATAATAATATAGCGGCGATCTTCTTCGCCCGGTTCGCCGCCTTCGTTGTTTTCGGTAGCATCGACATGGCCGGCTTCCGAGAGATGTCCAGACTGGAGCAAGACGGGGCTGTTGTCTGTAGAATTTTGCAACAACCGCTGTTTGTTCATAATGACTGCCTCCTCAAGCTGATCATAGAAATCGGCCATTACTTTCGTGATTCCTTCGTCTGTCTCAGCAGGTAGCATTACGTCAGCCACAATGTCAACATTCCCTTCGTAAATCCATCCAAACGGTCCTTCTACCCCTCGGTTTAGATGGTCAATTTTTAGGCCATCAATCCGAAGTCTGCTAAACTTCTGCCAGGCATTCTGTTCTCCCAGTCCCATCATGGCTCCTTGGTCTTGGCGAGACACAATGCCATGGACTTGACGGGGATGGATAGTAAAAAGCGATCCGTCAAACGATCCGGACATATGATTTGCGGATAAAAAGTCGTAGAAAAGCCACTGTTTTCGAAGTCGCGGGAGTTCGCAGGAGTATATGCTAACGGAGAATGGCCGAAAGCCGTCGGGTTGATAAATAGTCAACAACAGATCTTCCAACTTGAATGACTCGATCTCGAAGTCTCCAGGTTGGTGTTCATGTCGGTATGATAGAGGATCTACTTCCTCAATTGGCCACTGTACTGAAGTACGATCCACAACTCCTCTAACCCCATTTACCTCGACATCCTTTAGCAAACCCTTGCCGTTCCACCAATTGAGAAACGACAAAGTGACATTGACGTTGGCAATGGTAACATCAAATTGTGTGTAATTTCCATCATCTTCTGGGTCAGAGTATTCGATAAGGTGCGCCTGTCGGCCAGCAGCTGCCACCGCAGCAGCATCCGAAGAGCCCTTGCTCACAGAAGACTTGACCTGTCCTGGGCGGCGAGAGACAAACACATTTCGAAATGCGATCACTCCATTTTTCCATTTGGGAACAATTGCTGACTCAAAGACAACCGTAACGCCAGCAGATTGCGTCAAGTAATCGCCAACCCACTTCGCAAGAGTTTCTAGATATAAGTATTAGCGCTTCCACCAGACGTAGTAGAGAATTGGCAGGCCGCTTACCTTGTGCAAAGACGGTGTTGATGGAGAAGATGAGAAGAGAAAAGAAAGTCGTGGTCCCAACAAGAATCCACACAATGTGCCCCAACATGAACCAAGAGACGAATGCTCCCCATTCATCGGCATTCCATGGGCGCATGCTTCTGATGGACATCCATTTAAATCGAACTTTGAGTCTCTCCCAGAATCCGTTTGCGGCGGCCAGAAGCTCCTCCTTTGCTGGTCGATGTGGTAACTTTGGCAGGTGGAGGTACTTAGATACCGAAGATGCTATCGATTCATTATCACCTTCACTATTCGGTTGCCCTGGGACCTCTTGCTGCTGTTGACTTGACTCGGGCCGCTTCCTCTCCGGCGACGTGGAAGATCTCCTTGCTATCGCGTGTTCTTTTGCAGGCTTTGTTTCATTAGAGTAGCTGCACTGCTGTTGTTGCGGTAGCTTTATCGAGGTTCGCACCAGTCCGCCATGGTGGTAGCTACGAGTTGGCACTTTATAATACGGCTTCAATAGCCCGGTCGAACGGAGAATGCGCTTCGTAGAGCAAGATGACATGAAGTGCGGAATTGTTATTGTTTGAATAGGGCGTACGTGCCACCATGCCGGAGGGTTTAGACATGTTGATGTCGACAGCGGTTGTTGACCTAGTCTCTGAAGGGACAGCCGTGGAAAGAAACCAGCTACAGGAGCTGCGGTGTACTGTGACCAAAGACGGCTTCCCAGCAGCCGCGATGAAAAGGCCTTAGACATGCTTCCAGATCATGGCGCCTATGAGGAATGAATTCAAGGCGTTGGGGGTCAAACTTTGGTTCGATCGGCCTCGCCCAGATTGAATGGGCTACAGGAGGCGGGCTGATACTATGACGAGAAGAACCAATGTTGCTCCAGGTGCATAAAAGTCGTTTATGACGCGCCGAGAGAGCTGGGTACGTACCGGAACTGCCGCCAAGGTCTGACCAATAGATACGCCACGATAAGCCACCACAAATTTTTGTGAAGATCCCAGCGATCGCAAAAGTCGGCGGTGGGTAACTTTGCTTTTACGCCGCTAACCAAGTTCTTCATCGTGCTTTCACACCATCCAGACTCACCAAGGAAACAATCCCATCATACTTAAGACTGACGCATTAGGGCATCTTGAGGATATTGAAATACAATATCACTCAGATTATATTCGAGTGCAATCACCATGCCTGCCCCTACAGCCTTAAAAAAGGCTGAGGAGACCCCGCTCCAAGCTGTGGCGGCCTCGTCCCAAACGCAAGGTACTTCGAGTTTCTTTATATTTGATAATGTCATATATTCTCTCGCAGTTCGCTAACTATTTTTGACAAGATAACGGGGGCGGGTTTCTGCTCGGGGAGCCAGATGCTATGCCAGTAGATGCAGACGCCGCACCAACAGCAGATGAACAAGAAGATGATTCAATGGCCATCGATGAGGAGGGTCGACCTCGATTTGCTCCATCCAGGGATATTGTAAGAATGCCAATTACAAGATACAGCGGATTTATAATGGGAATTAACTTATCTATCTCTAGGATCCCGTGACAAGAGTTGAAACTCGAAAGATCCCGGTGCCGCCGCATCGAATGACGCCGCTAAAACAAGCATGGCCGTCTATTTACCCTCCTCTAGTTGAACACCTGAAACTACAATGTCGAATGAATATTAAACGCAAGACGGTCGAATTGAGGACTTCGCAGCACACAACCGATTCTGGGGCGCTACAAAAAGGCGAGGACTTTGTGAAGGCTTTCACCCTTGGCTTCGACGTTGACGATGCTGTTGCTTTGCTTAGATTGGATGATCTCTATATCGAAACTTTCGAGATCAAAGACGTCAGAATCATGCACGGTGACAGCCAAGCACGTGCGATTGGCCGCATTGCTGGCAAGGATGGAAAAACTAAATTCGCAATTGAGAACGCCAGCAGAACTCGAATTGTACTGGCCGACTCAAAAATTCACATTCTGGGCGGATTCAAGAATATTCACATGGCACGAGAGTCGGTCGTGAGTTTGATTCTTGGCAAGCCACCAGGCAAGGTGTACGGAAACCTAAGAACCGTTGCTGCAAGGATGAAGGAGAGGTTTTAACGGCCTGGGGATCAAGAGATGATAGCTTTGGTACATAATGGCGTTTGGTTAAGCATGCATTTACAATTGATGATAATCTCAAAGAAAAGATTTGTCACACGGATGATAGCATCGGAGATAAACACGATATGCAATGGGCCAGGCGTAAGTTGCTTGAGTAACAGGCATGACACATATAAAAGCTGGCAAATATGTCAACTGTGGCACAAACATACCTGGAAATTTTGTGAAGATTACCCGTTGGCAACTAAGTGGGCTAGGAAAAAACACTTATTAGTCGCTGATAGGTATTGACATTTGTCACCACGAAGTGTACCATAAGACCCGTCCAGTCAGCTGCGAATGTCTTATTAGTTACCCGTTTGACAAATTTGACAACAGTATCAGGGTGCGGTTCTTCATTGGTTCAAATTGTAGCCGAATAGTAGGATACATTGAACCTCTGCATAATTCCCTGATGTCGCAAGTAAACCCTTATCAGGCACTGGTGAAACGCAGAGTCCTTTTTCCCTGTGCCTCATGCCCGCCCTGCGCACGATGCACGTGTTGTCTTGCCCCTCGCCTTTCAGCCCCCTCTTCTTTCCTAGTTGACTGTTGCCCCTCTCTCTCTGGGCTGTTGGATACTGCCCCACCTGCAACTAGGATCCAATTATTACACAAGTTGGCCGCAGCAACCTTCCTGGATCCAGACGTCCCGCCCAAACACGCAGCTCAAAAACCTCACACTTGACCTCAACAAATACCCTCCTGCAAAGCTTTCTCCAAGCCATTCGAGAAAACCACTCGAAAATTGCCATTAACCCTCCTGAATTGGTACGTATTCTAACATCTGAGCTTTACTTGGTCTCTCTTTGTTTTCATCCTTACCTCTGCACATCTACGCCACCATTCTACCCCTCCATCCCAGCTGTCATTCGACGAAGATCTAGCCTAAAGCTTGGTCTTTGAGGCATATTCGAACCAGTCCTTAGGCTCGTATTATTCCTTCCAGTTTCCTCTCTGCTATATGGTTTTCTCCCTTTGAGCAAATAAAATGGCAACTTACTGTTCGGGCTAATTCTATTTTTGTTTCTCGCCCTGTTTTAACAGTTCAGTTGGTAGTATCCATTGTCTTGCCCAAACGTTGCATTGTCGGTCCAGCTCTTGGCTAACATTTCTCCGGGCTATTTTGCAGAATCATATCAAACTACCTGACCTTTAAAAATGGCCATCACCAAGGTTCACGCGCGGTCCGTATACGACTCTCGTGGTAACCCCACCGTCGAGGTTGACGTCGTTACCGAGACTGGCCTGCACCGAGCTATCGTTCCCTCCGGAGCTTCTACCGGTTCGTCCCGATACTCCTCCATCCCAATACTTGTGCAATGCATAACCGAGAATACAGGTCAGCACGAAGCCTGTGAGCTTCGAGATAATGACAAGTCCAAGTGGGGCGGCAAGGGCGTTAGCAAGGCTGTTGAGAATGTTAACACGATTATTGGCCCTGCCCTGATCAAGGAAGGCATTGATGTCAAGGACCAGTCGAAGGTCGACTCTTTTCTCAATGACCTTGATGGCACTGACAACAAGACTAAGCTCGGCGCCAATGCCATCCTTGGTGTCAGTCTGGCTATTGCCAAGGCTGGTGCTGCTGAGAAGGTAGGATGACTGCAACTAGGCTGGCCAATTCCAGGTTTCAATTGCTAATTTTGACAAGGGTGTTCCCTTGTACGCTCATATTTCCGATCTGGCCGGAACCAAGAAGCCTTATGTTCTTCCCGTTCCCTTCATGAACGTTCTCAACGGCGGGTAAGTAACTCTAGGATTGTGCATTATTGTTCAGTATTACCGGGAACGGATGGCTAACTAGATTAGCTCTCACGCTGGCGGCCGTCTTGCTTTCCAGGAGTTCATGATTGTCCCCTCGTAAGTCATACCTACATCACCTATATATTCGGTCTGTCACTAATAAAACTTGTAGTGATGCTCCCACTTTCTCCGAGGCCATGCGCCAGGGTGCTGAGGTATACCAGAAGCTCAAGTCTCTGGCCAAGAAGAAGTATGGCCAGTCCGCAGGCAACGTGGGTGATGAGGGCGGTGTTGCTCCCGATATTCAGACCGCTGATGAGGCCCTTGAGCTCATCACCGACGCCATCGAGCAGGCAGGCTATGCTGGCAAGATGAATATTGCCATGGATGTTGCGTCAAGCGAGTTCTACAAGACAGACGCAAAGAAGTATGACCTTGACTTCAAGAACCCTGATAGCGACCCAAAGAAGTGGATCACCTATGAGGAACTCGCTGCCATGTACTCAGATCTCTGCAAGAAGTACCCCATTGTCAGCATTGAGGACCCCTTCGCTGAGGATGATTGGGAGGCTTGGAGCTATTTCTACAAGACCCAGGATATTCAGATTGTCGGTGATGATCTGACTGTCACCAACCCCCTCCGCATCAAGAAGGCTATCGAGCTTAAGGCCTGCAACGCTTTGCTCCTCAAGGTCAACCAGATTGGTACCCTGACTGAGTCTATTCAGGCAGCCAAGGACTCCTACGCTGACGGCTGGGGGGTCATGGTTTCCCATCGATCCGGTGAGACAGAAGATGTCACCATTGCCGACATCGTCGTGGGTATCCGATCTGGCGAGATCAAGACTGGTGCCCCATGCCGCTCTGAGCGTCTGGCTAAACTCAACCAGATTCTCCGAATCGAGGAGGAGCTCGGAGATCAAGCCATCTATGCCGGTGCTAACTTCCGCAAGTCGGTTAACCTCTAAATGCAATGTATCTACCATTGTCGTTGCCAAACTGTGGCAATTGACCAAAAAAGTGGTTTACACACCGTAATGAAGAATGAAATCAAAATGACGAGGTAAAACGCGCGGGAAATAAGATAACAAAAGTCAACGCAAATAGATCAGTAAAACAAGGTATTGAGAGCGGAGACAGCAGGCAAATATCATCAAGAAACAAAGTTCTTCAAGTGGTTACAAGCATTACATCATGTTTCCGTGAAACCATCCATCGCGAAAAGGTAACACATAGGTCTAGGTACCAAACATATTAGCACTAGGTTAGTACATACCTAGGTACTTACGGTAGCTAGCAGGTACCTAACGTACTCGGGCGTCGTCTCAGTCGATGACCTTGTGTGGCGGGTTTGGCCTCAGCAGCCACATTGTGGCTGTTGCCACAGCAACTCTTGGAAGAAACACAACATTACTGGGAATAAAAACAATGTGGCGTAAGTTTTCAGTCACTAACATCTAACATCAGAAGTCGCAGTTCAAAAAGAACTGGCTGCTCCAGTGCATTCTAACTCATAATGGCAGCCTCGAGTACCCTCATTGATTTCGATGTCATCGAAGGACAAAAGGAGAATATACAGTCTTTGCCCGGTGGACGATCGGCAAGGAAGTTAGCAGAGTTGTACTCTCCATCACCTCTGCATAAACTCGCGACACCGACTCCCTCGGATACCAAAAATGTCCACGATTGCATTCGCGCCGAATATGAGGCAGAAATTCAGAATATCTCTGAATCAGATGATCCGCTGGACGTGTTCGACAGGTACGTCAGATGGACACTGGACGCGTACCCGACGGCACAAGCAACTCCACAATCGCAGCTGCACACGCTCCTTGAACGCGCCACAAAGACATTCATCACCTCTGCACAATATAAAAATGACCCTCGCTACCTGAGGCTCTGGGTTCATTACATCCACTTCTTCTCAGACACCCCAAGAGAGGCCTACATGTTTCTCTCGCGTCATGGAATAGGAGAAGGGCTGGCCCTCTTTTACGAGGAGTACGCTGCTTGGTTGGAAGCTGCAGGAAGATGGGCACAAGCAGAGGAGGTCTATAAGCTCGGGATCGAGCGTGAGAGTAGGCCTGTTCAGAGATTGATGCGAAAGTTCAAGGAGTTCGAGGAACGAATAGCGCAGCAGCCGGCCGACGCCATTGAGCCGTCGTCGCCAGCCCTTCCTACCGTTCGTCCAGCGCTGGCCGCAAAGGTCGATCCTTTTGGATCTTTGTCGCGGCCCAGCGACCCGCAAGCGTCACGGCCTAGGAGCGGTGCCGGCAGCGCCAGTTCAAAGCCAGCCAAATCAAAGCTTGCTATCTTTTCAGATGCGGATGCCAAGCCAGCACCTTTGTCATCTAGGGCAGAAGGGTCCAAGGGATGGGAATCAATTGGATCATTGTCTGACCGTAAGAAAGAAAACGTCATGGAACCGAAGCCGTGGGTTGGAGAGACGTTGAAAGCCGGTGGAAAGAAGAGTACTGCGCCGAAGATGGCAGTGTTCAGGGACCCGGTAAGTTTCCGAACTGAGTACACCCTTTCCAAGCCCATATATTGATGAGAATAGGACTAATTTATTGGCCGTGCCATGTATTCGTTAATCCAGTCGCTATCTCAAATACACAATGTCGTCCTTGTATCGGCCAAAAGCCAAGTGACTGTGCACCCTCAAACAGGAAAGAAAGAATACATATTCGTTGACCTTGCAGCTGTGTACCCAACCCCGGAAGAACCTGGTTCAGAACTGAGTTTTGAGGAAATTATTGCGGCACGTCGTGGTTGGTTGGATCGATCTTGGGGCCATGAGACCGTGGAGGACGATTTTGTCACTGAGCCGATACAATTTCTCAGTGGGTTTGAGGAGATCAGCCGTGGTGTTAGTAACAAACTTGCTATTCACCGAGATCCGATGTTTTTCGATGAAAATGGAGGCATGAAAGAGCACCCTCGAGAGCCTCGTGTTGCAAAAAAGAAAATCATGGAAGTCAACGAGACCCAAATCAGTATGCCAGATATCAAATTTTGCCTTATTAGACTTGGTGGAGCTGACATTTTCTAGTCAAGGCAAAGTTGGAATCCCCCTCAGGTCCCAAATTTCGCAAGAAGCAAACATCTGAGCCGACAATGACGCTCCACACGAAGGCAGCGACTGACGATATATATGACATTTTCAACGCCCCTCTTAAGCTGGCCAACGGAAACGAAAGCGCAGAGGATGAGGATTACGAGACAGATGGCGACTATACCACTGACGGCGAAAGCACAGGCACAACTAGACAACTCGATGCTACCAGTCAACATGGCGACGGCGGGACTGCTGACACAAAGAGTCTAAGTGAGTGGTCAGAATTTTCAGCTCAAAAGCACATCCCAAATGTTGAGACAGACGATGTGGACGGCACTCTTCCAATACAGAGCGATTATGACGGCCATATTGAGGAGGCAGAACCCGGAGAGCAAACCTGTCCAACAACTTGTCCGAATGATGAAGCAATGGTTGCCCCTCCGGATGAGCAGTCTCCTCCGAAAACCCGCACAGTATTCGTTCCCATTCCTCCAGAAGATTATGACCCCCCGACACGGCCGTATAGGGACCCGGCCGAGGTGGCGAATAATCGACTCCCGTTTATGACTCCAATTACGGAGCGGACAGAATGCTCACTTGATGTTGATCTTGAACGTCAAGACACATTCAAAACACCATGTAGACGAGATGGAGTTACCAATGACATGGGAGAAGACCAGTCAGACGACGAGCCCTTGAGCAGCCCTCTTAGAGAAATTGTGGACGACGAATGTCCTATGCCGAAAATCCCTGCTGCCCTGGTCCCAAAATCCAGATCTATTGTCAAGGAACCCTCTACCAACCCGATTCCCCCAAAAGGTCCCGTTATTAAAGATATCCAATGCAATCCCGTTGACATTTCTATCCGTCAAGAAATTCTAAACAGCCTTCAACCTCCTTTGAGTTCGTATGCCGGGTTCTACGACCGAAGTGGGCAAAAATACGAATTCGGAGCTGATATTCGCAAGTTTACCAAGGCCTTGAACAGATTGAGCAAGGGCGGCGCCGACAAGACGGGACCTCTCCCATCTCCAGTCATGATTAAGTTTCCCAGCACAACCCGAGTATATACCTTGAAACGGGAGCTTGGTGCAGGGGCATTTGCCCCTGTCTATCTAGTCGAAAACTCGTCTCCGCAGGAGAATGAAAATGACGAGAATGCAGTGGCCACAATGGGCAAAGGCATGTTTGCTGTTAGTCACCGAAATGACTTGGAGGCACTCAAGATGGAAGTACCACCAACTCCCTGGGAGTTCTACATCATGAGGCTTGCACACTCTCGTTTAGGTCCGCAGCACCGTGCAGCAGCTTCTCTGTCTTATGCGCATGAGCTACAGCTATATCAAGACGAAGGATTCCTTTTTCTACCATATCACCCTCATGGAACACTCCTAGACTTGGTTAACTTCTTCAGAGCCGAGCCGTCTGGTTTAATGGATGAGCAATTGGCAATGTTCTTCTCCATTGAGCTCATGCGCACTGTTGAAGCCCTTCACACCAAGAACATACTACATGGTGATCTCAAGGCCGATAATTGCCTGCTTCGGCTAGATACGATGTCTTCGGAAGAACCTCTGTTAACGCCATGGAAAGCGGACGGCAGTGGCGGCTGGGCATCGAGAGGCATCTTTCTCATTGACTTTGGTCGGGGCATTGACATGAAGGCCTTTGCTTCGAACGTGGAATTTATCGCCGACTGGAAGACTTCATCGCAGGACTGCGCGGAGATGCGCGAAGGACGCCCGTGGACATGGCAAATCGACTACCACGGTCTGGCAGGTATCATTCACTGTCTGCTCTTTGGAAAGTACATTGAAACTCAACGATGCGACCAAGGTGGGCTTGGTCGTACCGGCAGAAAATATAAGATCCGGGAAAGCTTGAAGCGATACTGGCAGGCAGATCTTTGGTCTGAGTGCTTCGAAGTGCTACTTAACCCCGGGTCATTTTTAGAATTTGAAGATGGGTGTAAGATGCCGGTGCTGAAGTCATTAAAAAGCCTGCGAGGAAGAATGGAACAGTGGCTTGAAGCAAACTGTGATCGTGGTGTCGGCTTGCGATCTCTAATTGGCAAGTTGGAAGGATACACAAAAACTCGCAGGTAAAAAGAAACCTTGGAGTGATTTCATGGCTGGGGGAGTATCTCATTCAGATTGTTCTGACTCAAGTCAGGAGGAGCCGTCGTTATCTTCATTCACACCATTAGGCTTATAGGGCAGACATTGATTATCTGGCGTTTCCCCTGAGTGTTTGCAGCACTGAACAGAATTAGCATGTAACCATATCTGTTGAACTTCAATGGTACAAATAATATTACATATACATAGAGGAACATGACAATACCGATGATTATTCGATTCCATCTTCTTGTTAGCACGGCCAAGATCTTCTGCTTTCCCAGCTATTTTGATCCAAGACGACCCGTGCTGAGTAATAAATAGCCGGTATGTACTAAGGTCTCACGGTCCCTGCAAAAGAAGGGGAATTTGGAATCGTCTAGTCACTCTCTTCGCCTGAGTCGTGTGTGTTCTTCCGGTTTTACACAATTCTTTTCGCCCTTGAACCTTTCTTAGCATTCTTGACCGATCTTTTGTCAACCTGGTCTTGGATTCTGTTGCGCTCTGCTGCACCTTTGGCCTGAAGTTCCTTTTCTTTCTCCTTGAACTCGTCGCTCTCTGGGTCCATTCCTATGAGGCTCTCTAGTAGCTTGATTTCATCTGCCCAGACTTGCTTGTCTTCAACTGTCTTTCCGTCTGGGCCCTTCTTATCGATGGGTGTCTCCAGGATCATGGGCATATTGCAAAAGTTATCGCAATTCATGACGCCGTGGAACGCGCGGAGGCCTAGAAAGCCGGTTCCGATATTCGCATGCAGGTCTCGATTGGAATTAAGGGGGGCTTTGCTATCATTCACTAGCAAAGGATATTAGTTTACTACAAGGCGGGAAACGTAAGATGGTTTATCTTGCGTAAAATGTTTTCGGCGGTATTGAAGGGTAGGCAATACTTACAGTGGAACGCCTTGAGATATCTATATCCAACAGTCTTGTCGAATGCCTCCATGGTCTTTTTAAATGCATCTGGGGTCCGTAGGTCGTACCCAGCTGCGAATGCATGGCAGGTATCTATGCAGACGCCTACTCGATCCTTCTGGTCTACCAACGCAATAATGTCCCTCAAGTCTTCCCAGGTTGAGCCAATCACATTGCCCGCACCGGCCATATTCTCTAGGACTGTAATCACTGATTGAGTCGCCTTGTGTGAACGGTTCAATTGTGCAGCAATCCGGCCAATTGCCGCTGGTCGGGCCTCTCCTCCAGTTGAGCCTGGATGGAAATTGTACAATTTGATCCCGAGTTGTTCACATCTCTCAAGATCGTCAACGAAGCTTTTGTAGGCTTGTGCGGCCTTGGACTCGTCCGCTTGCGCCAGATTGACGAGATACGACCCATGGGGTAGGGCATGCTCTGCGGTGCTGTAATTGTGCTCTTTGCAGTTGCTAGTGAAGAGATCACGGGCCTCTGTAGGAATTGGAGGATTGTCCCATTTGCGTTGAGACTTGAGAAAGAGAGCGAATGAGTTGGCTCCAATCTGGACGGCGTTGGAAACAGCATTTTGGACCCCTATGCGAAAGGATAACGACATGTGATTAGTTCTAAATGGGGTGAATCTAGTAAATATTCCGTAGAAGACGTGAAAGGGGCTGAATTCCATCCCAATTCGTCCCAACTCTATCCACAACTCACCTCCAGCGGCACTAACATGAGCGCCTATGTACATGGCCTTGGTCAGAGAAGACACGGTTGTCCTGTCTGCCAACTTCATTGCGCTTTCTTCCGCCTTTGCGTTTGTCTTGGGCCTTTTTTGTTGCTTTTTACTCTGTGTGCTACCTTCTCTTTCGGTTACGGAGTCTAACTTTCGCTTGCCGGTGATTTTCGTTGCCACTTTCGTGACGGCGCTTTTCGACTTCTTGATGGTTTTGGGAGCCGCCCCGTCAGAGTCCTCGTTGTAGCTTACCACCTGCCGTTTCCTAGGGGATGCTCGAGGCATTTTGGTAGATACGTAGCTTGATTCAGATGGATGTCGTCGATTGGGATGTTGTTTCGAGGTTTGACGAGAGCAGACTTCTTCGCTGACCCCATTGCCTTCACGCGACCCAACGCCGAAGTTGTCAACGCGAAGTCACGTGCGTGATACCAGCTCTGCAATTCACCCACAAACGAGTACCCGTTAACAACTAAGTGGGTTATTTAGAGCAGTCACTGTAATCTTGAGGTCAGTTTTCATGGTGTCACAAACAAATGTAATCGTTTTTTCCTTTCTTTTTCTTTTTTCGAGAATACACTATTTTCATCGTGAGTTTACCGGGACAATTCTACCGTGCATGTTATCGAACACCGTCTTGAAGCCTCTATTAGAGTAACCAGTAGTGATTATTGATCTAGTTACAAACAAGTTCGCCCCCAGCCAACAGAGTGTCATAGCGTTCGCAACCCTTTACGATAGAATGCGCAATTCAGGAACCGTATTCAAATTTGAGAATTTGTCCTTGTAAGCGTCATAGAGCCGTTCAACTTCTTCCACATACAATTCATGGTATTTGTCAATAACTTCTTGAGAGGGGTGCTCTTCGGTTGGCTCGTTGATCTCAATGGGCCGCCCGACCACAATGTTGACGGCCCGTCGGTAAGGCATCAAACCGACATCATAATTGAGAAGTCCACGGCCATGAAGAGCCGGGATCGTAAATTTGAATACTTTCAAAAGGATCATTTGGATCTTGTGGACCATGGGATGCGTTTTCGGACTCAGTTGATCATATAAGTCATTCTCACCGAAACCAATCACCGGCACAAGGTCTGCTCCCGATCTCAGGGCCATCTTGACAAAGCCTTTGCGCCCTTTGAGAATCAGGCGAAGCGTTCCGGGTTCGGCTTGTAGAGATTCACGAGCGCCTCCAATAACAATTGTGACCGCCCGCCCCTGCCCATCGTTGCTAGCTCCCCCTTTAGACAGGGTATTTCGAATGGATTCTTTCGAAACAGATCGAATTCCCATAGCCAAGATCCAGTCGCGGTAGAATGGAAGGCGAAAATTAGAATCAAGTGTTAGCAAACTGTTGGTAATACCAGGGAACTTCTCTGAGAATCCCAATGCGTTGGTAGCAAAGGCACACCAGGCGCCATGGGAAATGATCCCATGTGGATGATATCCAAAAATGTACTTCCTGTTGGGAGGCAAGTCAAATGTCTTATGAAGAGCGGCTGGAAAGTATCCCGCAAATAGCTTCCAAAGCGGCAACGATCGAAGCCATTCGGATCTGTAAGAAAGTTTGCCGTCCATCGCTGCGTTAGAAAACGACAGGTGAACAAGGTAAGGAACGAGGATGGGCCAGGTCAGAGGGTTCGCGCAGCTGAACCAGAAACAGGACACCAGCACGACAATAGACATAGAGTGGAAAAGGACTGCTGCTGTCTGCATACGACGTTTAAAGGGCACACGAAGGGGGGCGAATCGAATGCCTCCAGCTCTCCAAGCCTCCCTCTCGTGAGCGTCTCGGTGCATCCCACTAAAGAGGGTAGGATAAGGCAAGTAATCCCCGTTGGTGATCTTTTTATCCTCCCCGAGCTTGTCGGTTTGAAGAGCTGCAGAGTATGACTTGCCGTTTTCCTCCGCCACAACACTGGGATTCGATGATTCAGATTGGTCAATCAGTTTGCCATCATGTGCCAGGTCCTGTCCAGCCTCGCGATTACAGGTTAGTTTAAATATTAGAAAACGATCGACGTAGAGAGGAAACCATGGTGTTCCTTACTGTCTGGACTGTCGTGTCTGAATCTTCAAGTTCAAGTGGTGGAAAGTCCTGCTTATCATGCGGATTTGACTCCACGACAACTTTTTCGTTCGTTTGACTGCCCACTGCATCAAATATCCGTTAGTAAGAATATTATTTCTCTGTCTGTCCAGTTTCTATGACATCGAGACAGCCCCAAGTCCTCTAGACTCCAGAGGCAAGCTCCCCTTCAACAGCAGCAATTGAACTGTTCGGCACGACGAGACAATGTCAAAGTTGACTTACTCCCTGATGAAAGGGTAGCCTGCAGGTTATCAACGGAAGACATTGTTTTCCCTCCCCGTCTAAATTCCGATGCAGTTCACCGGTCTTCGTAGTAGGAAGAAGAAAATCTCGCCAGCCCATCTAGTTGCTATGCGTCTGAAATGGCGCCTTTGGCCACGGTGGACGCAGGAAGGCGGCGCAACGAAAGGGCGTCCACCCCCTCGAAAAACTGAGATAAGAGTTATCAGAGGTCGCCACCGATCGACGACTTTGGATTTGGTAGACGGTACAGATCGCTTGCCTCGTAGCTGCTGGTGGACAAATAGATTTCGGAGCTTCTTACCGTGCTCATAAGCTCAGGTCTCATATGTTTAACCCAATGACGTACGAGACACAATGACTCGGCACGTGAAATATCCCAGCATAGCCGCTTTCTCCATTAGGCCCACAGAAGTACCTGCACAACCCTGGACAGCCCGTCGCAGTGGCCCAACGGTTTAACGACAGGGCCACTGCTCATTACACAACACAGCCACGAAGGCGTTCATTCACAACCAACTTGATCCGAAGCATTTGGCCAGAAAGGGGGAGGGAGGAGGCTCTGAACTACTGCGTCATAAATGAGCCAAAGTACAGTATACGAGAATCACCCTTGCCATATAAGTACAATTCCCAGACCAAAGAGTCTCCCAAACCTATAATGTAACATCCGAATGCCGCCTTTTGGTCACAATAGTTAGTCATCCCATGCCTGTTCCATAATCCGGGAAAAAATCAAAACGCTAAACTATGAGCAATTCAAGTGAGGTGCCTGTCTTACAGAACCCAGCTTGCTCATACTTTCCATCGGCCCTATTTAAGATCACATAAAGGTTGAAGAAAGATCCAGATAAGAACAAGTTGCTAACCCTCACGTAGTCGAAGCACCTTCACGAGTGTCAAGTTGTTTCCTCAGGCTAGCCACCTCCTGGTCAAGTGAAACAACCTTGTCTGAAAGAGACTTGATCTTGTCCTCTAGCAGACGGATATATTCCCAAACGCTAGGGTCGCTTTGCGCAAACATATTGCCACTATCGCCGGAAGGTTGAGCACCGCTCGGCGTGCGACCGTGAGAATATGTGCCTGAATTTGGTGCCACAAAACCTGGATGTGACAATCCTGGTAGTTTGGGCCTTGCCTGACCGCTGCTGTGTGGTGACTGCAGGTCCGATGGCGGCCTGCCAACTTGCTGCTGTTGATATTGTTGGGTCATAGTAGGGGACCGTTGTCTCGCCAAGTTCGCAGAGTCGTGACTTGGAAGCCCGGGGCTAAGAGGCTTCGGACTCTCCGTCATACCCGCCTGTGAGTACATTCCCGAGCCTCCAGGGCCGCCGGGAATAGAGGAAACGCTAGTGTTTGCCGTATGGCTGCTCGCCATGCTGTCGGGAACACTGGTGGAGCTAATCGTGCCAGCCTGACTTAGATTCACATTCGGTGGATAGAGGCCGCTCGCTGACGGTCGAGGACCTGCTGGAGGATATGTACGAGAGTGTGCGCCATAGTTGTCACCAGACGAGTGTTGTACACCCATGCTCGGAAGACTTTGTCGTCTGAGCTCTTCGTCTTCCACACTATCATAGGCCACTCCTGACATAGTTGAGTCATCTCCTTCGCCTATGGTCCCGTCCAATTCATCACCGTCAGCAAAGCTGCCCATGCTAGCTCGTCGACCCGCACAACCTCCTGCTCCTTTGCTATGTCGTGCCAGAGCATCTCCACGCGCAAATTTCCGGTCACACTTTGGACAAATATGTGGTTTCTCTCCTGTATGGAGTTTTCCATGTCGTTTCAAATCATGAAGCCGGCGAAATCGCATTTGACACTCCGTACAGACATATGGCTTTTCTTGGCTATGAGTCAAGAGATGGCTCTTGAGATTATGATGGCGTGTAAACTCAGTACTGCAATACGGACACTTGTGTTTTTTGCCACCAGATGATGTGGGTGAGCTCTGAATCTGGCTCGGCATTGGGAAGCTCATGCCTCGATTGAGTGGTTCAGAGAGGTTTGCGTCAGTTTGTAAAGACCCAGGATACGACATTGAACCAGACTGTGGTCTCTCGTCTGGTGACATAAGTTGGTGACCTTGGACTTGATCATTTTTCTTGGAATCCAAGTCCATCGGGGCGGGGCTCTCAGCAACAGGGGCGGACGGTACATTGTTTGAATTCGCGTTCGCATTTGCAGGAGGACTACCTTCGTCACGATCATGGTCATCCATATGAGCAGCATTCCCGGTAGCCATGGAGAGCTCGGTCGCTGCTTTCGTTGCAGGCTCCATGTTTGCGGTCGGAGCAAGCTGAATGGTGTCAGAAGGACGGCTCATCGCTTGAGCGACACCAGACATTAGGGACTCAAGTACTGAACGAGCCGGGTCAGGGCTAATGGAAGAACTGTGAGCCTGCTCCTCGACCCTTCGTCGACGCTCGTCTTCGAGAGCCGCAGCGCCTGTGAGAGGCACGGCAGGTCGAATGGTCGTCGCAAGAGACAGTCGGGCGACCTTGGAGGGCGAGCCAGGTGGTTTGGAAAGCTGCGCGGCACGAGATCGCGGTGACACGGACTCGGATTCGCGTTGTCGTTTAGTTAGTCTCACGATGTCGTCGGATGGGGCTGTAGTAGCAGAGACGGAATTCTGATGACCGGGTGGCGGGCCTTCTGTTGCAAGACTGGCAACGTTTGATGCCATAGATATCCTGAATTAACGTATCTAACGAATTGAAGAAATAGGTTCGATCATGCGAGATGATGCCTACTGTTAAAATTATGGACAGTTCAGATCATCGAAGCATGTTGAGGCTGCCGTTATCCAGGTGTGGCTGAAGAACGTGGCGAGAGCTGGACCTTTTTTTGTTTTTTTTTTTCGTTGTTTTTTCTTCGTCCTGATTTAGACGGCCGAGAACGACGAGCGGTGGCAAAATCGCGAAGAGTAGGAATTGCGGCCTAAAAGAATTCAAACTCAGGGGACGGCGGTCTCGAAACAATTTCCGGGTCATTTACTGGCTGACGGAAAATGTCGCGTGGAGTGAAGGTCGAGATGTGTAAGATGTGATGAGAGCGAGAGAAGTGAGAGACCTCCAGAGAAGGTTGTTCATGTCAACGCCTCCTGGGGCTTCTGGGGCTGGGGGCGCAGTAGGTACCTAGGTAGGTAAAGTAGTCGGCCAGGCAAACCCAGTCAACTGTCAGAGTGCAGGCGTCAGGCGAGTGCCAGTGCCAGATCAAGCAAGGCCGGGGTGGGCTGGCAAGCTGGGTAGGCAGGCACGAGTTGCAAAGGCGTAAATGTTGGCGTCTGGCTCCACGGCTCCACGGCCAGGTGCCAGTTTAAGTTGGGTCAATACCTTCAACGTGCTCAGCCAAGGCCAAAATTCCAGCCAAAACGGGCGCTTCAGAACAACTGGAAGGTAACAGAGAGAGACAAGGATCTGAATCAGGGTAACATGTTGGCGAGAGCAGGAGCGAGCGAGGCGATGTGCTGCGCTTGCAATTGAAGAGGCCGGAACATTCACCGAGCGGGCAACCGAGAAGACCCAAGAAGGGTGGCGCGGTCAGCGAACAGAGGGCCGGGGAAAAAAAACAAGGCCTAGAGTTCAGTGTTGAGCTGCAATTTGTGGGGACGATGACCAGCCACAAGAAGCTCCAAAACCAGCTTGATATGATGATACATGCATCATGGGCAAGACTGACCAAGGCTGTGTCCCAGCCATCGACACTCAGTACTTAAACAAGTATTTAAGACAAATCCGACTGGCCATCATATTTCTTCGTCTTATGCGGTTTTCTGTGTGTTTTAAGCCCATCGCATCTCTCCCAGACCCGAAAACTGGCTGTCCATTCAATCCTTGATGGCCATCGGGTGTAATGGCTTTCAACTGCTGCTGGTTGGAACTGAATTCTGCAGTGGTCGGCAGCCTGGGTTACTTGTGTCAATTCTAGGGATAGGCAGAGTCGGGCTATTATCTTTGTCTTGTCGTCACAAAAACCTCACCACTTCCGAATCCTTCGTCCCGCTTACTGGTCCTAGATTTTCTGCATTGCTTTGGTAGTTTTTACAGGACATTTCCGCCGCCGGGGGCTCCATAGCTAATACCTAAGTACTATTGATTCCTTCCTTGCATCGCCATTCCCGGCGTTGTGGAGCAATCCTGTCCTACGGTCAGCAAGACGTTGCTCAGTGCTAAGAGCGCTTTTGCCGTACGATCGACCTGCCGTGCAAAAATCTCCCACCACCTTGATATCCCACAAGAAACACGAGCAAACAGGTTTCGCCGAGGACGAAACCTTGGTGTGGTCAAACACGTTGTCTGTTGCCACCTTTCCAG